CAAAGTACCACATTTTCTCAAAAAGCAATGTCCACTGATTTTTTGCAAATACTATAATAACAAACTTTTAAACACTAAAATGAGCTATATCAAACTTGCAAAATGAGGGTGCTTTTTGTTTCATTTTACAGAGGGAATCCACGTAGCATAGCTGTTAAGAACAAAAGTATCTCCTAATACAGTGTACTCAGCACAAAGAAATAAAAATAAAAATCAGGTATGCAGATAAAAAAAACCACAAACCCCAATACAAAAAACAAACAAACAAACAAAACCCATAAAATCCCAGACTCCTAGAACACACAATTACAGACTACCTGTGAAAAGTCTGTGATATATAATTAGTTGGCATTACACAGGACTACCTTGGAAGATGCATGAATATCATCTGAGTCTCTAGAGAAGTACTGAAATATTGAGTTTTCTTCCTTCAAAGCCCTTTTGTCACAAAAAATCTAGCAAGAATTGTGCACATAACCTCCTTCACTATTATTTTTTTTTAAATCCACAAGGCCCCTTTATCATGCTCACTTGAAAACTGATGTAGGAAAAATATTTGAGGTAAGATACAATTAAACACTGGTTCATACTGAATATGCACAGGAAGTCAGTCATGGAATTTGGCCCTACAGCATCATCTACAAAAAGAATCTTCTGTTTCCTTAGGACCACACAAAAGAAAACAACAAATATAGCATCACTGTTTTTTCCCTGAGCGCTACGAAGATTTCCAGACCAATGCCTCAATTCAAAACTATCATGTGCCCTTAGTTATTTACAAATTGGAATTCTTACATGAGCAATTATGTTTCTACATTCTAATTTTGCATCAGAAGGTTGTAGGTTCAGCTCAGTTGCAAAAGGTCTTCTAAATAAATGCTTCTTACTTCGTCTGGTGTCAAGAATGCTTAAAAAAAGTGAAATCTTACACCCTGTATTGCCCAACATAGTGACATACTGATAATTTATCTGCAGTTGAGTCCCCTTTTAAAATATGTTAATTACTTCCAAACACTGAAAGCAGAGCTCTTAGGATCCTCTGAAACTTGAGCATGGAAGTGGATCCCAGTACCATCTGGTCATGCTGGGAGACAGCAGCAACTATGTACCCAAACATAGCTAGACTTGTTCTAGGTAAGAAAAACACTTGTACATGCTGCAGAAACATTTGAGATGTCTCGGACTTCAACTGGAAGGAAAACACTGAAGGCTCACTTGCCCAGATCAGAGATAATGACTGAAGGCAAAACTCCTGAAGGGGAGAGTGCACAAGTCTAAATCTCAAAGAGAAAAGGAAGTTAATTTAATTAAAAATACTTAACCTTTTATGGTATTAAAAATAAGAGTCTTCCTAGATATCTTCTCACATATAGAGTACACCAAGCCTGTGCTCACCAGTTCTATATATACAGCTACATCTGGTTACAACCTTTCCTTTGGATTCTTTAATTAATGGATGGGGGATGGAAGAGTACAACACTTCAGAACTTTTTCCATAGGGGTTATGTTGTTCCCTGCCACCTTTTTATAATGTACTCATCAAATGCAGCATTTAAGAAAAGATGTCCTGCCTTCCCACTCCCTACTAATTAATCTAGTCTCAGGACACAATATACGTAATAGCCGCATGCCGGAACACTTAAAGAAAAACCACATAACCAACAAGAAGAAAAAGAACAAGCAGTATAACAAAAATCAAGAACTCACTTATGTTCTGCTCAAGCTCACAGAAAGCTTCTAGGAATAGTATTTCTGTCAACAGCTAATAAGAAAAATCCCAGATATTTGCAGTCAACGAACACGTTGTATTCCAGAAATTCAAACTGTTGATTACTTCATGAGGAAATTAGAAATTCATCCATTTAAAAAAAAAAAAAATTACCTGGAAAAATTTAAAACATACTGACTAGCAGAACAGCAGTGGTCAAGCTGTCCATAACTTTACATAGGTCCATCACAATTTAATTCAATAGGTATTACTTGCATGAATAAATAAAAATCCGAAAAGATTTCTGATCTTCTTCAACTTCAGAAGGTTCACACAGGCCCACCTCTCTAGCTTGTCAAAGTCCCTCTGGATGGCATCCCTTCCTGCTTTGCTATTAACTACACCACTCAGCTTGGTGCCACTCACAAACTTGCTGAGGGTGCACTCAATCCCACTGTCCACGTCCCTGAAAAAGATGCTAAATAATACTAGTCCCAATACAGATCCCTGAGGGACACCGCTCATCAATAGTCTCCACCCCAACATTGAGCTATTGATAGCAACTCTTTGAGTGCAACCACCTATGCACCAAGTGATCCACTTGTAAAATCCATGTATCTCCATTTTAGAAAGAAGGATGTTGTGTGGGACAGTATAAAATGCTTTGCACAAGTCCAGGTGCTCTTCCCTTATCCAACAATGCTGTAACTCCATTGTAGAAAGCCCCCAAATTTGTCAGTTGCAATTTGCCTTTAGTGAAGCCACATTGGCTGTCACAGATCACCTCCTTATTTCCCATGTGCCTTAGCATAGTTTCCAGGAGGATCTGTTTCATGATCTTGCCAGGCACAGAGGTGAGACTGACTGGCCTGTAGTTTCCCAGATCCTCCTTCTTTCACCTTTTTAAAATGGGGGTTATGTTTCCCCTTTTCCAGTCAGCGGGAACTTCACCGGACTGCCATGACATTTCAAACACGATGGATAGCGGCTTAGCAACTTCATCTGCCAGTTCCCTCAGGACCCTCGGATACATCTCATCAGCTCTCAAACTTGTGCACATTCAGGTTCCATAGCTGGTCTCAAACCTGATCTTCTCCTAAGGTGGGCAGTACTTCATTCTCCGAGTCCCTGCCTTTGGATTCTGTGAATTGGGCAGCATAGGTAGAGTACTTACTGACACAGACCAAGGCAAAAAGGTCGAGTACCTTAGTTTTCTCCATGTCAACTGTATACAAGTCTCCCATTTCTCTCATCACAGAGGGTACAGATTCTTTCCCTTCCTTTGTTGCCCTATGTACCTGAAGAAACCCTTCTTGTTCTTTATCACATCCCTAGCCAGGTTCGGCTCCAGCTGTGCCTTGGTATTCCTGTTCCCCTCCCTGCACTCTGACTTCTCCTCAGTTTTTCACGTTATTTTCAACTTGCTTTAACCTACAGCTGCTTTTCTTTTATTTTTTTTATGGTTTTTCTTTTCCAGGAAACATCTTGTTTGTATCACAGAGTCTCAAAACCCACACACTTTTTGTTCTGTTTTATAGCAATCAGCTGTCTCAGGAAAGACAGGCAGCAATTTCACTTTTTTTCCCAATTTATTTCCTATCCAACATATTCCTTGGGATATTATTCAGCAAAGCGCCACTGACTTCAATACCACAATTTACAGTAGATAAGGATCTGGCGTACAGATGGGGCTTTCATTCCAACCTCTCCAGTAATCTCTTTCCTTGAAGGAAAAAGAAAAGCTATTGCACTTTAGGCTGCCCAGCCCTGGCAATGACCAACTACTGTAAAAGTGACTCTACTGGCCACACTACTTCAAGGTACTAGAGGGATCTTTTGGTTTGTTTCCAGTGAAAGAGAGATTTAGTAAGAGAGTCCATCCCTTCTGAACAGAGTAACCAAAAAAGGAGTAAAAAAACCAGGATGAAATGCAGCCATAACGCAGAGCTAGTAATACCACTGTAAGCAAGGCTAATGCTGGAACAGAGACCACATGGTTAATGTTTCTGGTGAATCTATTCCTGTTTCCATTACAAGGAGCTTTACACAATGTGGATTACAGCACAGCAAGTAACAGGGCAATTGCACTGTTTGATTTTTTTAGAGAAGATGTAATGGTTTTAATTTTAAAAGATGCATTAATTTCAGTTTGCTGGCAGAAGCATGATAGCCTCTGTGAGATGACAAGTGATATAAAGTCTTCTCCTTTTGGATTACAGAGATGCAAAACAAGGAAATTTATTGTGATGAGCCAGAAAAAGCAGGAAGTCAAATTATGGTGTTCAGTGCTTCTAACATTTTCCTGAGTAAAGAATCCTATTATGAAATCAATTCAAGGCCCCAAATTTTAACTTGTCCTTCTTTGTAACTCTTCTTTTATTATCTACATACTCAATCCATTTAAACTAGTGCTGTCATCACTGTCAAATTAAATTTGGAAATTTACATGCCATTGGCAACACTACCACTGAATTTACAATCCTGAGGGCTGATCACGAAACAAACTAGCTAATCCACTTAAAAAATTTAAATATGCTGCAAGAAAGGACTAAATGACAGCAAACATACACTATCTCTGATTGAAACAAGCTTCTCCTGGCTGTATGTTCACACAGGTGCACTTACGCAAGTCCAGTATTTTCATACTCAATTGACACCACCACATTTTTTCATGAAACTGTGCAGAACTCAGATGAAAACAGCTTTCAAGGTAGACACACAAACACTTGCAGTATATATGCTCAAGGAAGTACATTTAAGCAATTTTTTGTGCTCTCTTTCTGCAGTGTTTTTGCAACAAATGAGAGGTCACACCAAATGAGGTGAATCTGCTCAAGATTCTGCTAAGAAGTTTAAAAGCTGACACAGCAGTTGCCCAACACTGTTCAGGATCTGCATCAGAATCTTTAACCCCAGAGTATACCTTTAAATGTGTAATTATTTTATATTTTTTTAATCAATGGACAGGATGAAAACACATCAATCCAGCACCTGAAAGTGATAAATTATGCATATTTTAAGTTGGATAGAAAGTGTATTGGTTTACCTGACAATAAGCACAGGTGTGAACAGACCAGAGAAAGTAAAAATTCTGTCATTTACTAACTTCTCCATCTGCCTCAGAGGGCAGTTTTTGCCCACATACACGTGCCACTTATAATGCAAATGCACGTGAAGATAGGGCCTGAGTCTTCCATGGGTGCTTTATTTTAGACAGCTCAATCTTAAAATAAATTTAAAAATATCAGCAAGAGCATCAGTTTAGTAGTCAGAGTTGCATCGTTAAACTCACCTGATAAACTCCAGGTGGTAAAGCCTCTACTATAATTTCATCTCATTTCATAAACCCTATTTATGGAATAAATAAAAGCAAGGATAAATTATAGGATAACGGAAAAACTATCTTCTTTATTTTCTGTAAATTACAAGATACCAGTCCATCAGAGGTGGAGAGGCAGACCTATAACCCATCCACTAAATGCCAGTTTCCTACAAATCAAAACACACACTGATACAGGCTTGAACTGGCAACACTACAGACAGCTTTCTAAAATAAATCCGACACCAAATACCAAAAAAAAAAAAAAAAAAATTGGCGTGAAGGCAGCCACAGCACAGCCTCAATTAACCTACAAGGACACAATTAAATGTTGTGAGTACACCCACATCAGAAACCTCGTTGTCACTGCAATTAGCTGCTGGCTAACTTGCAAAGCCAAGATGGCACCTTGGGCTCTTCTACACACACCTCAAGGTAGGAACGTGAAAAAAAAAAAAAAAAACAGTTGGCTGTAAGGCAAACCTCACCTGAAAGGGTGATGTTTAGTTTCATCAGCCTGATGCACCATCATTTACACTCCATGGTCCTAAAAGACAAATAAAGGCTCATCCGCTACCCGTTTCATTCCAAAGGCATGTCAGACCTATCACTGGCTGCAGCAGGTTAAATTAGCATTGCAGCACATCTTCTATTTTATTGTGCATTTTATTGAACAACTGATTGCAGGTATCAAATACTACAGTATGCTTTGCTAATGTCTCCTGTACCTGGCACGTAGGGGACTCACTGGTCAGTGTATGGGACTGACACTACTGATCATCTGCCCTTCTCCATGGATCATTCAAACTATATCTATTTGCAGAATACCTGAAAAAGTTCCTGGACCACCTGTGGCACATTCATGGTATCAGAATACACAGATGATGCCTTAATCCTGTTCAGATAAGAAATCCTCACTCCCTAGGAAAATCATATTTGATACATCAGCAAGGGAAGGTGAAAGTTCTTCATAAAAACACATTTTAAAACTGACCTTTTTTTTTTTTTTTAACTTCTTACAAATATCACTGGCTCAGTTTTCAACCCTGCAGCGACATCTCATGGCTCCATGGTAGTTCCAGCAGCTAACGCACATTGTCAAAGAACAGCAACAAAACTGGGGAACACAAATGTCTACTCATACAGAACTGGGTAGCTGGCACTGACGAGATGACCTAATCCCATTAGTTGATAGCACCAAACTTATTTATCCTACTAAATAAAGCTAATACAAAACACTGCCTGCTACAAGGGACTTTGGTCTGTTTGTGCACAGGCTTATACCACATGTCTAGAAGGCTAGTTTTAAAGAAAATGAAAGATTGGGAGAATGAAATTCTCTGGAATTTCTGCTGGAAAAACTAATTCCCACCGTTTCTAATACAGATGAGCTACCATGCCAGCAGTCTGATGTCTTAGGTGGTTACCTGTTTCAAGCAGAAGGAAAACAGAGAGTCGTTTAGTTTCAGAGAACTGCACCACATGAATATCATTACAGGGAGCTTTATACCTGCATTGCAGCAAGAGATGAATTAATACTCTGTATTAATAAAGTTAGTATGTTCTTAAAAAATAACTTACTAAAATGCTCGGTCAAGACTGAGTTGTAAGAATAAACCCATTCCAGTCTAACAAATCACTGCATCTGCATACCCTTTCATAATTAAATGCAAGATCAGTCTTTATTCAACTCAAACTCAAAGCACAGTATCTTTTTCTGGGTCAAAAGAAAAACCAATAATATAGTAGTTTTCTATGATAAATAGCAATGCTTTTAACTAGGTCTCTTTGAAGCCTGGTTTCCTTTTGCATACATTGGTGGAAACATTAAGGTACATCAGAGACTGAAGCAACACAGGGGCTGGACATCAGAAGCAATAAGCAGGCTCACTTCATTGTTGTTGTGGGTAGGTTTTGAGTCAAATGCAATTTTTGTGTGATTACTTGTGAAGGGAACAAACTCAGGCTTATGGTGAAAACTCAGCTGCCCTTACCTACACGCTACCATGCTATCCCTGCATCATTACATTTTCATTCCACTGAATCAAATCTTCATCATGTCTTTAGGGTCTTGATCCAAATGCATGTGCACTGTCTAGAAGAACATACATTGAGCTATTAAACTATATTTCCATTTGATTAATTGTACGTCTTACTACAGATATCAAGAAGTCTGAGTATTTCAAAACAAGACATGTAAAAAGTAAAACCTCTACAGCTTTAACAGTGAAGAAAGTATTCTAAAATTTATGGCTACATGTTCTGCATGATCTCTAAAGTCTTGGCTTCTGACATAGGTAATTACTGAAGTCAAACCTTGCTGTAGCAATTTTTGGTATTTAGCAACAATAATAGGGATTTCAACCAGAGGACATGTAAAAAAAATCCTCAAAGACACCCCTATCTTTTATGGAAATACATCTTCCTCCTCGGGCAATCACTAGTTTTCATACAAAAGAAAGGAAATTAGAACATCTGGCAAAATGGCCTTTGCAATGTTCCCGAGAACAGAGGGTTTACTGAGCTCTCTTATATAAACTGGAATACTTCCCACTTGATTGGCACATAAAGATAAGTTAATAAAACATTCGCAACTCCAAACCCTGACTTTTTTTATTTCCCTCTAGTGTTTCATAACCCATATCACTCTCACCTAAACATTTATTTTGCTTGTTTGTTGTTTTTTTTTTTTTTTACTTCTGTTCTTGTGACATAGTTTGAGGATTCTGATCTATCGAAGAACCAAAGTTTATCACAGAGTGTCATATGAGAGAGAAAGCAGCAGTAATGTTTGCATAGTTGCCTCTGATTACAGGAGAACTTGATTGGACAACACAGACCTTTCAAAAGACCTGTTCTTTTTCCTGCTCTTTTTCTTCCTCCCATGTGATCAAATCCCCATGTCCCCAGTGCAGTAAAGTAGCAGTGATTCCAGAGACCAGCAGTAGCTCAGCAGATTCACCCAACCACAGAGCGGGGTAAAAGGGCTAAATGAAAGGTACAGAAAGACTTCTAAGTGCAAAATTACCATTCCGTCTGATGGAAAAAAAGGCAACTGAGTACGCATTTAGAGGGACATTTGGTCATATCAATTAAAATAATTTGAAAAATTTTTGCTAACCAAGGATCTGACAAATTTATCATCATACAGAACACAAGAATTCCTCTCAGAACTCAGGTTTAAGACCATCATAGAGAACCCAAAGTTAAGCTCTAATAGTATGGTCCACTTTAAAAAGGCATGTGTACAAGTCACTTGTAAAACAGAGCAGAAAGACAATTTCCTGCAAAGAACACTGGGGATTTTGTCCTAAACAGTTATAACTTCCAGACTGCTCCTGTTCCAGCTCTAAACTGCTCCTTTGTCTGTTTCTAGGCAGCAAAACAGGCAAAAAAGTGTTCATCTACCAATACTGCTGGAGGTGCCAGTTCTGGTTTCCAGACCACATTCAGTGCCAGCTTCCTTGCCGCAGTACTTAAAAAATAAAGCGAGGAACTGTCTTAGTTCTGAGGAACTTTTTCATATCATCCTTCTGTTCACTCAGTCGTGAGGTAAACATTATTTCACTGAAAACCAAATTAATATCCTATTGGCTTTAAAGCTTAAAACATTGAATGCATAAGTAAAAATGCAATAAAAATGACCCAGTCACATGGAAAGGCACCACCAGGTGGAAAGGCTACAGGATATGATAGCCAGACTGGAAGTGATATTTCCAGGTAACGTTCTTCTGTCCTTAGTTCCTTCTGATTGTACTCACCCATTTTATTTTGGTAATTCACAGCAGACATCCTGTAATGACAAGGATGATAAAACCCACTACATACTAGATTCTTCTCAAGTGTTATTTTAGCACACAGTTCTATATTGCACAATGGTCCCACAGGACTAAAGGGAGACCCTGGTTACTTACAGAAGGAGAATAATAGCTGACTTTTCATTTGAGAAACTGCTTTTCTTGGCATGCTTCTTTTATTAATAGCTGGAGAGTTACGGTTAAGTGACACAAATGTAGCGTACATCTAATTTCTTTTGTTCCAGCTGTGTAAACACTTACTTGCATGAACAATGTATTCCTAGTTAAATTTTCAAGTAAAAGCTTAGTATATGTAACAACTGAATGAAGTCCACCAATACATACACATTTGTGGCCCCAAGGCTTGTGTCATTTTTCCTGCTGCATTCCTATGCAGTGCAAATGGCATTATTTTAGCACAGGTTGTGAGATCTGCGTCCTGCCTGTCTACTTACCTGCTTACAACAGTGTGTCTGACCTGCTGCAAAAACACAAACTCAAACAAATCATGTCACTTGCTGGCTCAGCACAAGTGTATTTATGCATAGGGGGAAAGACTGGGGAAAGCTGAAGATGCAGGCTTGGTATTTACTCCAAATGCTATCAAATCAGTTCTCCGTACCAGTTCATGAGGACAAACTGTCTCAGTAGAGTGACAATTACCAAGATGGATCAAAATGGTCTTGGAGCAATTCCTAGGCATCCTCCCACTACGTGTATTCTGAGCAGTTTTTCCTCACTCCCTCATATACATTTCTTCTTTGCACCTAGATTCTATAGCATAAGGACATGAAAACATTTTCACCAAAATGGCATCTCCAAAATGAAGTCCAATGTCATTAGTACAGTAATGAAGTTCATTCGCGTAGGAAAGAGATCTTTGACCATCCAATGTCTTGCTGGCCCTGAAAGACAGTAATAAAGAGTATGGATATTTGAATAAATTATATAAGAATTTACTTTATTGAAGAAGCATCCTTTTAATTAAAGCAAAACTTTTTTTCTTAATTAGAGTAAGCATATTAAACAAAAGAGTAAGGAAGTTTGCAGGACAAAGTTTACGAATCAACCTCATAATCAGTATCAGCAGGAGGATAAGCTATCCAGTCTTCCATCAAATCAGCTTACTTGGGATCCACAGAGACCATTACTGCGATCCCAAGGACTTCCCAAGAAAATCAGTCTCCCCATAGTCCACTGAGCTAATGTTTTTAATTAAATCCAAATGTTATGAATTTTCTTCAAAGTTTCCCCATTATCGAGCATTTCCATGCTTAGCTGAAAGTTGAAATTCAACCCATTTTGTTATTTTTTCAATCTATTAGAAGGATTAAACATGCTATCAAATCCCAGAGACTGATCAAAGCTTGACTGCAATGTAAGATTGGGATCAGTGGTTCTAACTTATATCTCCTTGCTCACCGACACATTGCAACTGGGATTTTAAAAAAGGTCCCCCCCCGTGTGACTCGGCATCAGCTTAGGCAGCAGAGACTGTTCCCTTCTGCACCTGTGGATTAAGTTTAACCCACAACCTTCACGTCAGGGTACACTCACTGCAAATAGCACAGGGTAACCCTGGAATGGGAACCTAAACTCTCCATGAACCTCAGTATCCCCCAACGCAAATCTTGTCTTCAGTTGTGCTTTAAATGTGTAAAATCAAATAGCAAAACTAATCCAGTCCAACTTTAGTAGTGGTGGTGGGGTTGCAAGGGTGGCCTCTGTGAGAAGAAGTATGAGGCTACCCTGTGTCAGACACAGTTGGTTTGGCAACGGACCCAGTGCAGGCCAAAGCTGAGCCAAAGTTTGTCACACTTCTATGAAAAGAGATTTAAGAAAATGCAGAAAAAAGCTGACACTGAGAGAACCAGTGGAGGGTACCAAAGGACCAATAAGGTCAGAGTAGGAAGGGCTGCATGTTGGAACAGGTACAAGCTCAAAGGAACAGCAACCCACGCTGGGGCAGGTACACCCCTGAAGGGACTACAGCCAGTGGAGGATCTACATCAGAACACAGGAAACAAGTAAGGAAAAGGGAGCAGCAGCAGAAAAGAGGGGGAAAAAAAAAAAGGAGCAGTGAAGCAAAAAAAAATGCTACATACCAGCCCCTAAC